TTACTTCTACCAGTTATTATGTGTGATAAAGCCATAATGTGTGGGACAGACATGTCACAAAGTTGCCTCGTGGACACTGATCACTCAAGGTATCTGACATAACAAGAACTTGTGAAATATATGCAGAAGGTGGGAGTTTTAAGAGCATGTTGTCTGTACTCAGTTCTGAGGGTTGTTGACATCTTTGAAGGTGACATAGAAGCTAGACTTCTGTGTCACCTTCACGGTAGATTATATAGACTATAGAAGACACATTATTATTATTATTATAATCAAGGGGGAAGCGCTAAACCCAGAGGATTATGCAGCGCCTGGGGGGGGGGATGTGAAAGGCATTCAGGCTTAATTTGGGAAACGAGCACAGATCCAATTTCCTAAATCAAGAGCCCCTCACCAACATCAAGGAACCTTCCTGCTGTATAATCCTACGGGTTTAGCGCTTCCCCTTGATTATAATAATAAGGAACCTTCCTTGAGGGGTATAGAAGACACAGAAACCTAGCTTCTGTATCTATATATAGACAAGCTAGGCTTCCGTGTCTATATAATCTACCCAGCACAAGATATGCATACTAGGTAATTTCAGCGCATATATAATGAAAATTTAATCCCAATCTTAGGCATTAGAATATTTTAATCTGTCGGTGAAAAAGGTTAGGTATGGTTGATAGACTTGAACCTCCATTAACAAGAACCAACCAGCTTTAAATATTACCGGCTGGCTGGTGTGTATACCATTTTATGGTATACACACCATGGTATGGTATACCATGGTATGGTATACACAGGCCGAGGTATATGTTATCACTGGATGAGGTAAGTGGCAATGTCATGTATGTATTGTGTGCGTGTTTAAATAACAAAAAGGCACAATACCGTGACTGGAACGATACACAAATAACCCGCACAAAAAAGTGTGACTTTGTCAATGGTCCAAGTCGGACCGAAACGTCGTCGTAAGCTTCTCTCTTTTATGTGCGGGTTATTTGTGTATTGTGTGCGTGTTGTTTTGAATGTTTCATTGGTGAGTAAACATGTAGAACACTTTATCTATTGTTTAAAAGTATGGTTTCTACGGGTTTAGCGCCCCCGGCATGACTAGATTGACAATGTGCCTGGGGTTGGGTCCCAACCTGACAACAGTGGTACAAGGTTGTAATACAGGCTTTTACCGCGACAACGTTTCGCTCTGTGCAGATCTCTGACGAACCTCTATACACTGAGCGAAATGTTGTCCAAATAAAAGCTTGTTCTATAGCTTGTGTTTTTGTCTTTGTATTTGTTGACAGTACGCCTTTTCGTGCAGTCAGCTGAGAGTTGCTTCAGTCTTGTTATGTTGCTGAACAGAATCTATGGTATTACTGGCCTTGATATGGAGTTGTTGGCTGCATACCCTTTTTACTGATATTCCTTCGTAAGTTTATTTAGGTACAGGTACACGTAGGTATAATTATCATACGTAGTGTAAATTACCTAGGATAACCCTCTACAAAAGTCAAAGTGACTTATTGCCATTAGGGTCCACAGTCACCTTGATAAAGCTTGTGACGGTATTTCCGTCATTCATTGGTCTTTTCTCGTCTGGATCTATAAAATGGTTGTGCTCATGACGCGACATAGGAACTAGTGTCTGAGCTGTAACAGGTACATGAATGCCCGAGGCCTGGCAAGTACGTGAGTACCCGAACACTTACGTCTGTGTGAGGGCCTAACTCTTAAGTTGCTGCTATTTATGCCTGTAATAACGTCCATCGAGGCCTGCTCAGGTGAGTGTACGGAACTCCTCATAATTATAACCGTTTTGTGCCTGTAATCTTTTAATTGTCGTCCACAGGATGGGGTATAGGATACATAAACAATTGACTAAATTAAACAACCCTGTCCTTGTCCTTGAGTATTGCATACCTAAGGTGCTTGTATTGAGGACCTATAGCATACCTCGTGTCATGCGCTGTAAGCGTAGTTGCATTTCCCGGATTTTGATTCCGATAAGGCTATTTTAACTTGTCCTGTTACCCGTTGCCCGAGTGTAAGAAGTAGTGGTGGCGATTAAAAGGGTTATAGATAGGTTCTATTGAACATGGTCCCACCAGTTCAGTGCCCAGACCAATGGTGCTGGACAGAAAAAAAAAGTTAGCTTAAAAATTAAATGATTTTTTCACTCCTGCGAAATGACAAAATTTAGGTGATTGTATCTGTCAGTTGCACTAAATGTTTGTGGGTGGCCTCTGTAATTCCTCATTTTCGGTTTGCTTATTGTTAAGTAAAAGAACATAGGTGCATCTAATGACATTTTATTGTGGCAACGTTGCCACAGCAAAATGTCACATTAGCTGCACTTGTGTCCTTTTACCATATTGTCGGTAATTCTGCCAACATTAATACAGGATACTTATTATTTTGCTGCAAGAACAACAAAAGATCCACGATGAGATGCTGTAGTTTTCAGAGTTTTGACAGCTGTGTTCCTTCTTGATTTAACTTTACAGGACACCTGGCTGCACTCATGCAGAGCTTCATTGTGTCATGTGCTGTGATGATTGAATCAGGTGTGAATGACAGGAATTAACGCTTGGGCCACCTTTGTTTTGGTCGGCTCCTGACGGTACTAATTGTGGGAGAACTTAATCATATTTTTGATGACGTCCGGGTGAATAATTCATTTTTTCATAGGTTAGATGGTGTATTTCTTGAAGAGTTGTGTCGTAGCTGACAAGTAGTGAAAGATACGTTTCACCTACATAAGAGTTAATCATGTAATGTTCTTGATAAAGCCTCATCTGGGCGAAACGTCGTACTAATAAAGGTCTCCTTTGTATGTGTCTTACTACATTACGTGAGGTTCTTGTGGTTGGCAGATATTCAGACTACGATATTATTCGGAAGTGAATGAGAGTAACTAGGCAACTGCTTCCTCGCTCCATCTTTATTCTCTAGACGCAGCAGCTGGAGTTCACATCACAGGTGAGCGTGGCCCACTATTGAAAGTAGGGTAAACACTTGTTTTGAAAAGTGCAGAAGAGTGTTGGTGTATACCCTGTGTATTGTTGGTGTATATGCCCTTTATGAGTCAAATGTCGGTGTATATACCGTGTATTCATCAAGAGTTGGTGTACATATTTTGTATAAATCAAGTGTTTGTATATAAACCTTATACTCATGAAGTGTTGGTGTATTTAACTTGTTTATCAAGAGTGTTAGTATATATACCTCGTATTATCAAGTGTTGGTGTGTATACTTCATATTCATCAAAAGTGTTGGTGTATATAGTATTCATCAAGAGTGCTGGTATATACATCTTGTATTCATGACCCCTCAAGGAAGGTTCCTTGATGTTGGTGAGGGGCTCTTGATTTAGGGAATTGTATCTGTGCTCCAGTTCCCCGAATTAAGCCTGAATGCCTTCCACATCCCCCCCCCCAGGCGCTGTATAATCCTCCGGGTTTAGAGCTTCCCCTTGATTATTATAATAATCATTGTATTCATGAAGTGTTCATATATATATTACCTTGTGTATTCATCAGTTGTTAGTATCTGTTTCCTTCAGCCATGAAAAATTTATATGCCTGTATGTATCAAGAGTATGCCCTCTGTATGCATCAAGAGTATATATCCCCTGTATGTATCAAGAGCGTATATCCTTGGTATACATCAAGGGTGATGGAGTATTATGATTGATGGTGTCAGTATTGATGTTATGGTACACTCAACACTGATGGTGTGTTATGATTGATGGTGTCAGTATGATGTTATGGTACACTCAACACTGATGGTGTGTTATGATTGATGGTGTCAGTATGTTGTTATGGTACACTCAACACTGATGGTGTGTTATGATTGATGGTGTCAGTATTGTTGTTATGGTACACTCAACACTGATGGTGTATTATGATTGATGGTGTCAGTATTTTTGTTATAGTACACTCAACATGATGGTGTGTTATGATTGATGGTGTCAGTATTGTTGTTATGGTACACTCAACACTGATGGTGTTATGATTGATGGTGTCAGTATTGTTGTTATGGTACACTCAACACTGATGGTGTGTTATGATTGATGGTGTCAGTATTTTTGTTATGTACACTCAACACTGATGGTGTATTATGATTGATGGTGTCAGTATGATGTTATGGTACACTCAACACTGATGGTGTATTATGATTGATGGTGTCAGTATTGATGTTATGGTACACTCAACACTGATGGTGTATTATGATTGATGGTGTCAGTATGATGTTATGGTACACTCAACACTGATGGTGTGTTATAATTGATGGTGTCAGTATGATGTTATGGTACACTCAACACTGATGGTGTATTATGATTGATGGTGTCAGTATTGATGTTATGGTACACTCAACACTGATGGTGTGTTATGATTGATGGTGTCAGTATTGTTGTTATGGTACACTCAACACTGATGGTGTGTTATGATTGATGGTGTCAGTATTGTTGTTATGGTACACTCAACACTGATGGTGTATTATGATTGATGGTGTCAGTATGATGTTATGGTACACTCAACACTGATGGTGTATTATGATTGATGGTGTCAGTATGATGTTATGGTACACTCAACACTGATGGTGTTTATGATTGATGGTGTCAGTATGATGTTATGGTACACTCAACACTGATGGTGTATTATGATTGATGGTGTCAGTATGATGTTATGGTACACTCAACACTGATGGTGTATTATGATTGATGGTGTCAGTATTGTTGTTATAGTACACTCAACATAGGGATCATAACTGTTCTAACAATAACATCAACAAGAACAGTCTTATTCACCTGATATTTATTCATAACTGACCGACGAGAAATATATAGGCTATATGAAAATATTTTTTAAAGATTTTTAATTTTTATTTCGAGAATGGTGTTACATTGCTGACGAAACATCGTAAGAGGAAATTATAACTGTTAAAGGAAAACTGAATAAACACAATAAATGAAAAGACTTTCAGCCTATTAATTTTTTGGAATGTTTAAGGATTTTTTTTGGGGGGGGAGGGGGAGGGAATGAGCACGATAAATTAAACAAATTTCCAGCCTCTAATTTTATTAATGTCAAACGATTAAAAAAAATTTGATAATTAGGATAAATTATGAGAATTTCAGCTTCTAATTTTTAGAATATATTTTTTTTTTCAGATGAACACTGCTAATTATTACACTTTCAGCCTCTAATTTTTCGAATGTTATATTTTAATTAAGGAGTCCTGGCTCTGTATGACTTACGGATTTAGCGCTTCACGGTTATATATGAATTTTAATAAACGCTGCTTCAACATAATTTTCCTAATAGAATTTTCAGTCTGTTAATGTTAAAATTATTTACTTTTCGTGCCCTTGACTAATTGATTTCCAAATGGTTTTCGAGTACAATTGATAAACAAGATTTGGAATTCAGAATTATGGCTGTGAAAGACGTGAATGTGAGAAAATGGGCGACCCTGAAAGAAATGTCCAAATAATAGGAAGAGAGGAAAAGTAATGAATAAAATATTCGTATCGATTAGATATTTGTCTTTAAACCTACCGCCAACAGTTTGTAGATGTGACATAACATGCACAGTACTGGGATAGTTTATTGAGGTACTGTTTCGCCACGAATAGTTTTTCAGGACTTAAAAATCATTCGTTGGGTAACGTTTTCCGAGTAGAATACCCTAGCAGTGCCCACAGGTCATATTTCACAAGTGTCGGTATGATATACCATCTCTTACCCAGTCTGTGAACGAGTGTTACAAGTACAGGAAACAGAAGAGAGAGGCTCATTATGTCTTAAAAATTACCAGCCACATTACTCTTAGACACAAGCTAGGCTGTCACTAACTGCTAACTCGAATGCCACAGGTCGTGGGGAGGTGAGATTTCAAAGTGAAACGGAAGATGCGATTTCAAAGTGGAACCTCTTTCTTTTTTTTTTGTTTTAGACACCCAAAATGTTAAATATAATCTGACATGAAATTATCACATTGTTCCGCTGTTATAGATGTACGTGAAGAAGATTGTTAGTTGTCTGAGTAGTATTGGTCGTCAGCAGCCGGGGGGAAGGTAGCACTGGCCTTGAGTGCAGCGTTGAGACCTAGCTCCAGGGCCCTCAGCCTCTCCTCCAGGTTCTGCAGGGTAAACACACGCGTTACTAAAACATTATACAATGGATAACTAAGGTGTAATGAACACTTGTCAGTACTCAATAATAACCCACATGGAGACATACTCAGGAGATGAATTGATCTGTATATTTCGATCCCTTCTGGGATCCTCTTCAGTTGAAGATCCAAGAAGGGATCGAAAAAATACAAACCAAATAATCTTCTAAGTTTCTGTCTGAACGTGGGTTATTACTGAGAATTATTAAACATATTTAGAGATGGTGTTTATTAATTAAGGACTCGTATATTTACATAGATGAAGTTTTTTTTTTTTTTAACGCACCGGCCGTCTTCCACCAAGGTAGGGCGACTCAAATAAGAAGAAACACATTCATCGTCATTCACCTAATCGTTGTCTTGCCAAAAATGTGCTGACATCACATTGTTCAGATGACCTTCCGAACTGTGACATCCTCACTCCTCTTTCAGACTGCAGGCACTGTTCTTCCCACCTCCAGGACTCAAGTCCTGGTTAATAATATTATAAGATACATTTACAACACCACGACAAGGTTATATACACTAAGAGGAGTGTGTATATATGTCTCAAAGTATACACTGAGAGTTTACTATAGTACCTAATTTAGATACTACAGTAAACTAGTAGGTCCTAAAATAGGTACTACAGTACCTATTTTAGGGATAAAATAGGTACTGTTGTACCTGTTTTAGGGATAAAGTATCCTTTACTGATGTAGTTGTAACACGCAGTCTTAACGACCTTCGGGTAGTGGATAGTCTTGAGCCTAATAAAGCAATCATTTACAACAGTGAAGCGGTAATCTCACCACCGCAAGGAGTGATGGAGGCTGTCACCTGTTCCACCATATCCCGAGTAAGTAAAGAAATTGGGCAAGACTCCTGACAGCTGTTACCCCTGTTTACCTAACATGTTAGTCAACTGTTATGGGTGGCATCCTAGGGGTGGTGATATACCTTAAGATGTGTGTGTGTGTGTGTGTATTCATGTGGTTGCAGGGGTTAAGTCATAGCTCCTGGCTCCTCCTCTCAACTTGCCGTTGCCTCGTGGGCCCTATTGTACAAATTCTTAAAACTATGTATGATGTGTGTGTGTGTGTGTGTGGTCACCTAATTGTGGTTGCAAGGGTCGAGACTCAGCTCCTGGCCCCGCCTCTTCACTGGTCGCTGCTAGGTCCTCTCTCTCTCTGCTTCCAGAGCTTTGTCATACCTCGTCTTAAAGCTGTGTATGGTTCCTGCCTCCACTACATCACTTGCTAGGCTATTCCACTTCCTGACGACTCTGTGACTGAAGAAATACTTCCTAACATCCCTCTGACTCGTCTGAGTCTTCAGCTTCCAATTGTGACCCCTTGTTTCTGTGTCTCCTCTCTGGAACAACCTGTCTCTGTCTACCTTATCTATTCCCCTGACCCGCCTGTCCTCCAATGTCGTCAGTCTGATTTCCCTCAACCTTTCTTCGTAGGACATACCCCTGAGCTCCGGAACTAACCTTGATGCAAACGTTTGCACTTTCTCTAACTTCCTGACGTGTTTGACCAGGTGTGGATTCTAAACTGGTGCTGCATACTCCAGTATGGGCCTGATGTACACAGTGTACAGTGTCTTGAACGATTCCTTACTAAGGTATCGGAACGCTATCCTCAGGTTTGCCAGGCGCCCGTATGCTGCAGCAGTTATCTGGTTGATGTGTGCCTCCGGAGACGTGCTCGGTGTTATGGTCACCCCAAGATCTTTCTCCTTGAGCGAGGGTTTGCAGCCCTTTGGGCCACCTAGTCTATACTCTGTCTGCGGTCTTCTTTGCCCTTCTCCGATCTTCATGACTTTGCATATGGCAGGGTTGAATTCAAGAAGCCAGTTGCTGGACCACGTGTCCAGTCTGTCCAGGTCTCTTTGAAGTCCTGCTTGGTCCTCATCTGATTTAATTCTCCTCATTAACTTCACATCATCTGCGAACAGGGACACCTCCGAGTCTATCCCTTCCATCATGTCATTCACATATACCAGAAATAGCACTGGTCCTAGGACCGACCCGCGTGTGTGTGTGTGTGTGTGGTGTGTGTGTGTGTGTGTGTGTGTGTGTGTGTGTGTGTGTGTGTGTGTTTTTGTGGTGTGTTTGTGTGTGTGTTTTGTGTGTGTGTGTGTTAGTGCGTGCGTGCTAGTGGGGTGGGGGACCCACCTTAGTAGGGCGTGTGTAGGTGGTAGTGGGCGGTGGGTGGGAGACGGGGGTGGATTTCACCCGGAGATCAGGGGACATCCCTCACCACGCCACGCTTGGGTCAGACCGCTTCCCTCCATTCGTCCAACCTGTGGGCGGGGTACAAGAGCTGTATGGTTTAGGCAAAACCTGGTTGATGCCATTTATCTGGCACAAGGAACATTTTCTAACACATGAGGCATCCATGTATATATAACAACCACTGTGAAAAAATGGTGAATTTAAAGAGCTTTCGTGATTTCACTATTTTTTCACAGTGGTTCTGCATATTATGATATCACCTGTGATCTTATTGCATATATATATATATATATATAATATATATATATATATATATTATATATTAATATTTTATTATATTATATATATATTTTATATATATATTTATATATATATATATATATATTATTATTATATATATTTTATATATATATATATATATATATTATATATATAATATATATAATAATTATATTATATATATATTTTATATATATATATATAAAATTTTATTATTATATATTATATATATATATATATAAATATATATATATATATATTTTATAATTTATATTTATATATTATATATAAAATCATATTTATGGTTACGTCATGAGTGTGTGTTTTGCCTCTGTTGTACTGGGGCTTGTCTTGCCTACTCTTCAAGCTGTGTATGAAGTATGGTTGTAGCATGACTCACCTCTGCTGTACTGGAAGGTTTGTGCTGCCGTCAGACTGACAGTAAGAGCCACCACCAACACCACCATCAACACTACCTGGCTGTTTCGCTTCTCCATCTCCCTGTTGAATACATACTAAGTCACTCAACTTATCAACTGAACTTGGCTTTTCACATTCATTGTATATATAACTCAAGAAATCGTAATCTCCCGCCATCGTGGCGATTAATCTGTGAAAACTTGCATTTGTGGTCACAGTGGTGGCCCATGCTAACCTTTCTGTTGCGTATAAATATACCTAGTTGGATGACTCTTATTGTAACCAGCTGTCCCTGTTGTTTACACACTAGCCTAGAGTTTTACAACTCACTCGCCATGGGTTCAAACTCCACCCGTTCCGTGGGAAGTTACAATAGGATCCTTGTCAATACGGTGGCCTTCCGGAGGGGTCCGCGGCCCACAGATTGAGAATAAATTCTTAAATTCTTCCAATAATTTATTACTGGTGGTATAACTCCCAGTGATATTTGAGTCATTTTTCTCCTCACTAAAAACAATAGTCTGGGAATCTCCCTCACCCGCAGTCTTCACCTCATTTAAAAAAAACCTGAATCTTCTTTCCTGCGCTCAGGCAGCCGAGACGCCTTGTAATTGGTAATGAAGCCAAATGAAGAGTTTACCTGGATGAACGGAAATCGCTTATTTTTTTTGACTGGAAGGAGATTTTTAATGAAATATTCTCTCTCTCTCTCTCTCTCTCTCTCTCTCTCTCTCTCTCTCTCTCTTCTCTCTCTCTCTCTCTCTCTCTCTCTCTCTCTCTCTCTCTCTCTCTCTCTCTCATCATCTAGGGAGGTACTACCATCCTGCCATACGAGCGGGAAATACAGGTAGCATGATGGTAGATAGCAACCATCCAGAGAGGTACTACGATAACAATAATAATAATAATAATAATAATTATATTTCACCGGGATACAATGTTTGTACTGAGATGGGTGACACAGTTAAGCGTGTAGAAAGCCCTTAGTGAATTTCAATTTTCAGACCAATGTATTTTTTTTGCATTGACGTTACAGAAATTTTACCTGTCTAGAAAATTGGAAAACAAATTGTACTAGTACAAGGGAGGTACAAGTTATGCAACTTGGTGTATGATGTAGGAGAGCTGTATAATGAAGGGAAATGAAAAGGCAAGGGTTGAGGTGTTTACACCCGGGCAGTAGTCAGAGCTAGGATACCTGCAGATTCGATCCTCAGTTGCAGCATCAAAGAGAAGGTGGAATACTTAGAAACATGTCTTGACAAATATATTCCAAGAATACATGTCTTGACGGAGATACTTGTAGCGGTGTTAGTCGCGTCTGGTGGATACAAATAAGACACTTGGAGGTGAGGATGAGGAGGTATATTTTACTCAGGTGAGGATGACGAGGTATATTTTACTCAGGTGAGGATGGCGAGGTATATTTTACTTAGGTAAAGGGTGACGGGGGTATATTTTACTCAGGTGAGGATGAAAGAGTTATTTTACTTAGGTGAGGATGACGAGGTATATTTTACTTAGGTAAGGATGACGAGGTATATTTTACTCAGGTGAGGATGGCGAGGTATATTTTACTTAGGTGAGGATGACGAGGTATATTTTACTTAGGTAAGGATGGCGAGGTATATTTTACTCAGGTGAGGATGAGAGGTATATTTTTTCTTAGGTGAGGATGACGAGGTATATTTTTACTTAGGGAAGGATGACGAGGTATATTTACTCAGGTAAAAGGGTGACGAGGTAAAATTTTACTCAGATGAGGATGGCGAGGTATATTTTACTCAGGTGAGGATGGCGAGGTATATTTTACTCAGGTGAGGATGGCGAGGTATATTTTACTCAGATGAGGATGGCGAGGTATATTTTACTCAGGTGAGGATGGCGAGGTATATTTTACTCAGGTGAGGATGGCGAGGTATATTTTACTCAGGTGAGGATGGCGAGGTATATTTTACTCAGGTGAGGATGGCGAGGTATATTTTACCCCAGGTGAGGATGGAAGGTATATTTTTACTCAGTGAGGATGGCGAAGGTTATTTTACTCAGAAAGAGGATGGCGAGGTATATTTACTCAGTGAGGATGGCGAGGGATATTTTACTCAGATGAGGATGGCGAGGTATATTTTACTTTAGGTGAGGATGACGAGGTATATTTTACTCAGGTGAGATGGCGAGGTATATTTTACTCAGATGAGGATGGCGAGGTATATTTTTACTCAGGTGAGGATGACGAGGTATATTTTTACTCAGATGAGATGGGGGAGGTATATTTTACTCAGGTGAGGATGACGAGGTATATTTTACTCAGATGAGGATGGCGAGGTATATTTTACTCAGGTGAGGATGACGAGGTATATTTTACTCAGATGAGGATGGCGAGGTATATTTTACTCAGGAGGATGGCGAGGTATAAATTTTTCTCAGATGAGGATGGCGAGGTAATTTTACTCAGTGAGGATGACGAGGTATATTTTACTCAGGGAGGTGGCGAGGTATATTTACTCAGGTGAGGATGGCAAGGTATATTTTACTCAGGGTGAGGATGGCGAGGTATATTTTACTCAGATAGGATGGCGAGGTATATTTTACTCAGGTGAGGATGGCGAGGTATATTTTACTCAGATGAGGGTGGCGAGGTATATTTTTACTCAGGTGAGGATGACGAGGTTTTATTTTACCAGGTGAGGATGGCGAGGTATATTTTACTCAGATGAGGATGGCGAGGTATATTTTACTCAGGGGAGGATGACGAGGGATATTTTACTCAGATGAGGATGGCGAGGTATATTTACTCAGGTGAGGATGACGAGGTATATTTACTCAGATGAGGATGGCGAGGTATATTTTACTCAGGTGAGGATGACGAGGTATATTTTACTCAGATGAGGATGGCGAGGTATATTTTACTCAGGTTTAGGATGGCGAGGTATATTTTACTCAGATGAGGATGGCGAGGTATATTTACTCAGGTGAGGATGACGAGGTATATTTTACTCCAGGTGAGGATGACGAGTATATTTTACTCAGGTGAGGATGGCGAGGTATATTTTACTCAGATGAGGATGGCGAGGTATATTTTACTCAGGTGAGGATGGCGAGGATATATTTTACTCAGATGAGGATGACGAGGTAAATTTTACTTAGGTGAGGATGACGAGGTTTTATTTTACCAGGTTTAGGATGGCAAGGTATATTTTACTCAGGTGAGGATGGCGAGGTATATTTACTCAGGTGAGGATGGCGAGGTATAAATTTTTCTCAGGTGAGGATGGCAAAGGTTTTATTTTACTCAGGTGAGGATGGGAGGTTATTTTTAAATCAGGTGAGGATGCGAGGTATATTTTACTCAGGTAGGATGGCGAGGTATATTTTACTCAGGTGAGGATGACGAGGTATATTTTAAATCAGGTGAGGATGGCGAGGGATATTTTACTCAGATGAGGATGGCGAGGTATATTTTACTCAGATGAGGATGACGGGGGTATATTTTACTCAGGTGAGGATGGCGAGTATATTTTACTCAGACTGCCTGAGTGATATTCAGAACATTCTGCTAGCACTGATGTGTGTATGAGTGATTCCCTAATTGTGGTTGCAGGGGTCGATACATAGCTCCTGGGCCCCTCTTCACTGATCGCTACTAGGTCCTTTCTCCCTGCTCCATGAGCTTTATCATACCTCGGGCTTAAAACTGTGTATGGTTTCCCGCGTCCACTACGTCCACTTGCCAGACTATTCCATTCCTGACAACTCTATGACTAAAGAAATCTTCTAACATCTCTTTGACTCTTTTGAGTCTTTTACTTCCAATTTTTGGCCCCTTGTTTTTGTGTCCATCTCCGAACATCCTGTGTGACTCACCTAATTGTACTCACCTAATTGTGGTTGCAGGGGTCGAGACTCAGCTCCTGGTCCCGCCTCTTCATTGAGTGCTACTGGTGTGTTGTGTGTGTGTGTGTGTGTGGTTGTGCTTTACTCACCTATTAGCATAGGTCGAGTCATAGCTCCTGGCCCGCCTCTTCGCTGGTGTGTGTGGGTGTGATTGTGAACGTGTATAATACGCGCGTGTATGATTGAGTGTACTCACAGTCTGCCAGTAGTTACACATAAATACAGAGAATCCCACCACCATCTTCACTCTGGCTTAAAACTCGGACTTGGCCTCAAGTTCCCCCTTCTGATTACATTAAAAAAAGTTTTAATATATCCCGGATCTTTGAGATTCATTAACTCTCGTGTTGCCTTAAAAACCCGCGCTAATCTCTCCCATTATGACTCAAACTTTTTCCCTCACTTGCTACCTTTCCAAAATGTAATAATAATAATAATAAAATAATAATAAAAAATAATAATAATAATAATAATAATACCACTACTACTACTAATACTACTACTACTACTACTACTAATAATAATAATAATAATAATAATAATTATGATAATGATAATATTAATGACTATGATAATAATATTACTAATACTAATAATAATAATAGTGATGATCTACTACTAATAATAACAATAGTAATTATTATGATAATGTTAATAATAGTATGGTTACACCTCGGGAAAACGGAAGCCATTCTCTTTGGCACGAAACATAAACTGAGAAGATTAAATAATTTTAATGTCCAGTGTAATGGGGAGCCCATCACTTCAGTTTCCTCAGTAAAATATCTGGGAATCTCCTTTGACCCATGCATGTCAGGAGAACTGATAGGGAACAGTGTCGTAAAGAAAGCGAATGCCAAACTGAAATTCCTCAGCAGACAAGCACAGTGTCTGCCTACTGAGACTCGCAGGACGCTATGTCTAGCTCATATATTCAATTCAATTCAATTCAAAGTTTATTCTCTATAGGGATTACAATGCTGAGTTTACAGAATTTGGTTATTGTGTGGTTTACATGTAGTAAAATAATAATTACAGAGTGTACCACTAGAACACCTAGCATGGCTAAGCATTTCGGGCAGACTTAAATTAAATCTTAAGTTTAAAATATTACAAAATTATGAGGTAAGTTGGTATTATGGCTAAGTGACTAAATACTAGTTTGTGAGTTTAGCAATGTGAATGCT